GGTGCATTTATAAAGACAGTAAGATAAACTTCCTCTCCCTAGGCAGTTGAGTCCCCTTTCTCTGCTCCTTTTCCCCTTCCCTCTGCCTTCTTACTGATATCAGAGACAGCTTGTTGCTTAAACCAGTCCAGGAACACTGCAACATGGGGAGAAGGCGGTGGCATTTACTGTCCTATTGCCCCTTAAATCTGTCCATGCCCTTTTGTATGGTTTTGTTCCTATTACATCTGTTTCTGGACACCTCACTAGCAGAAGGACTGACAAAATTTGAGGGATTTCAGAGAAGAGGGAAAAAAAGATCAGAGTGCTAGAACAATTGACTTCTGAGAAAAGATTAAAAGAACTAAATAAATATAACTTGTCTAAAAGCAGCTAAAGGTGAGACAATGTAATAATCTGCAAACATTTGAATGTTGTAAACACCAAATAGGGAGAGGAATTGCTCAGATTAGTACAAAGAGTTTCCTGGAAATAATAGGATGAAATTAACAAAGGGAAAATTTAGGATGACTATCAGGAAAACTTGACATTGAGATCCATTAGGATCATTGTTTGATGTATTTAAAACTAAACTGCACAAAATACTAAAAATGTACTGGAGGATTTTATAGGGCCTTTTCATCTAATTTCTGTGATTGTAAGATCTATATAAAAACAGTATAGATGTATTTGATCCAAATACATATCACTTAATAAAATTGGATTCCACTGAAAACAATGTGAACAGTGTAGGGAAAGGGAAAGATCATAATTATTTTGTATTATTTAATGTGTATTAGAAATCTGAAATTCCCCCATTTATTAAAAACAGATTTTTCAGGTTAGCAAAAATACATATTTAGTAATTTGGTGTCAAACTAAATAAAAATTCTTCAACATGTGATCTAAAAATATATAACAGATTCCATTATCTAACTGAGCACTGATAGCCTAAACTACATAATATACCTTTGCTTTTGCATCTTCTTTGTCATCAGCTTTTGCAGCCAACAGCATAAGTCTCAGTGCCAGGGAAATATTCAGAGGGAACTGGCCTCTCAGCTGAGGTACATTGGATTTTATAAGCTTGTCTACTTTTGGCAATGGAATGTCATAGAAAAACACACTTCCCAGCAAGTCTTGACCACGTCGTCCAGCACGTCCGGACATCTAGAGAGAAGCAATGCCAACTTTTTATTTTTTCTCATTTCCATGATAGCATAAAGTCATTTCAATAATGCCAGTTATTCTGGTTTGAAAGAAGCATATCAGAGGGATTTTTGATTCTGTCAGTACAGAAAGACAAACAGTGAATTCATAATATGTATTTATGTGGGTGCTACTCTTCTAGATAGGGAAGAGAGGATCTGAGATGCAGGGGAAGTGGAGAAATGACTTGATTGCTCCCTGCCTGCCTTTCCAGCTCACAGCCAAGACAGGGAAAGAAAAAAGGAGGGTGGGAGAAAAGGAGCTGTGGATGTGCTGTTCCTTGACCAGTTTTGTAAGATTAGATGGTTAGAACGTTCCAAGAATGCTGCAGTCTTTATTATGTGGCCAGCAAAAAAGAATGCAGAAGGCTATATTCAACTTCTCTTACCAATGGGGAGATTTGTGCCTGGCTATGGGGAGGAGGCTTGCAATGGTTGTACTACCACCTTCCTCAACGGTTGTAGGATGAGGGCAACTTGAAATTACAGCCATAGGAGCCTTGCCAGCAGAGGCTATCCAGGGGACGGGTAGAATTGGTGCATCCTCCCACCTTCCTGGCCATGGCTACTTCTCAGACATCTCTTCTCTCCTTGGCCTTCAGGGATGTAAGTACCAAAGGGTATGTCTACACTGCAATAAAACACCCACAGCTGTCCCGTATAGACATACCGTTTGTACTGTGCAATCTGCCTCCAGGTGATCTTCCCACCACCCGAGGCGCTGGATTGCAATAGCTCATCACAATTAAATAAAAATGTGTGTAATGAAATAATCTATTGTAAAATACTTAGGTTCAAACTCAGCGCTGGTTATACCGGGCCCCCAGAAACAACACAGGATCACTCCCAAATGCCACAGGGAAGAATTAGAGCTGGTTGAAATATTTTTAATTCCAACATGTTTGAGGAAAAATGGACTATTTCTTTTGCAAAAATGTGTGAATATTTTTCCCCCTTTTTGTTTGACCAGTTCTTGGTATAACTCATCCATGGAGAATCAGTGCTGAAGCTGTGGAGCAGAACCAGAGTATGTGATGGTGAATAGCATAAAAGCTTTTCACTGGGTCTCTCCCATTTTATCCACTGTCTGTTGGGAATCTGCAAGGCTCAGTCTTTGGATTCCTCCTCTTCCCTTTACATCATCTATTTAGTTGATATTATCTGCTCTTATGGTTTAAACTACTGCTTCTATTCTGACAATATGCAAATCTCCAGAGTTGTCTCCATCCATCCAATCCTGCATCTCATCCTGTGTCTCTGACCTTTCCTCTTAAATGTCTCACTGAAATTAAGCATAACATTCCCTTTGTTTTACCATCAACACCATCACCATCCTCTTTATTGCTCTAGCCTGAAACCTGGGGGTCATCTTTCATTCCTCTCTGTCCTTTGCCCTATGCATCCAAGCCATGTCTAAAATCTGCTGCATTGTTTATCAGTGATTAAACCATGTGTAAATTATGCAGATCATTACTAATTACTGCCAATAAATCACTATCATATATACTGTATGTGCAACATATGTTACAAAACACAATGTAGGAATCTTTTACAGTGTTAACATTTTTTATTGGGACTATTTTTGTATCCTTCCCACCAGTCAAGCCAGGTGCCTTAGTCATGAGTCCAACTGTCAGGCCTTAGAGGCAAATTTAATAAACCTCTAAAATAGCTTCTTGGTACCCAGAATCATGATATTGTTAAGGTCCGATATCTCAGGATTTTCTGGTGAAAGCAAATGTTGGTACTCCTTGGGAAGCTGACAGTGGTACTATTTTTCTGATATTCCATTTTTTAAAGTAGTGACATTTTTATATAAGGAAAACCTGTCAGAGGTGCAGGACTGAGTCTTGTCCACCCTGGAATTCGGGCCCACTTCGTTTGGTTGGATGGGGGTGGAGTTCCTCATTTGGAAAGAGAAAAAGGAGACATCTCTCTGACACTGATTTTTATTTTAATGGCAACCATTTGAATTTCCTCAGGGGTAAAAATGTTAGAATAAGTCCAGGGGAAAAAGGGTAGTGGGCACAGGGTGGGTAAGGTAGCAAAGGAGAAGAAGGATGGCCCAGTGGTTAAGGCACTTGCTTAGAACTTGGGAGAACCACATGCAAGTTCCTCCTCCACCACAGGTTTCCTGTGTGATTTTAGGCAAGCCACATAGGGTACATCTACACTGCCATTAAACACCCGTGGCTGGCCCATGTCAGCTGACTCGGACTCACAGAGCTTGGACTACATGGCTATTTAATTGTGATGTAGATATTCAGGCTTGGGCTGGAGCCTGGCTATGGGACCCCGCAAGGGGGATGAGTCCTAGAGCCAAGGCTCCAACTCAAACATGAACATCTACACCACAATTAAATGACCCAAGTCAGCTCTCATTGGCTAGCCACAGGTGTTTAATTGCAGTGCAGGCATACCCATAGTGTCTCTGTGCCTCAGTTCTCCATCTGTAAAATGTGGATAACAGTGCTTCCTTAACTCACACGGGTGTTGTGAGGATAATACATTGCAGGTTGTGAGGCACTCGGACTATATTGATGGAGGCTATGTAAGTAGGTTGCATTAAGTAGGTAGAAAATGCAGAGCAGATTGATTTATTTTATGACTTGGAAATTGAGCATATGTATGGCCCTACCAAATTCACGTCCATTTTGGTCAATTTCATGGCCATAGGATTTTTAAAATAGTAAATTTCATTATTTCAGCTTTTAAAATATGAAATTTCATGGTGTTGTAATTGTAGGGATCCTGACCCAAAAAGGAGTTGGGGGGGTCACAAAGTTCTTGTAGGCGGGGTTGCGATTGCTGCCCTTACTTCTGCACTGCTGCTGGCAGCGGCACTGCCTTCGGCGCTGGGCAGCGGGAGAGCGGCGGCTGCTGGCCGGGAGCCCAGTTCTGAAGGCAGAGCCACTGCCAGCAGCAGCCCAGAGGTGAGGATGGCAGGGTATGGTATTACCATCCTTACTTCTGCTCTGCTGCCTGCAGAGTTGGATCCTCAGTCATCAGCTGGCACTCTTCAGCCACCAAGCTCTGAAGGCAGCAGTGCAGAAGTAAGGGGGCATGGTATGTTATTGCCACCCTTACTTTTGCGCTGCTGCTGGCGGGGCTCTGCCTTCAGAGCTGGGCGCCCAGCCAATAGCAGCTGCTTTCTGGCTGCCCCGCTCTGAAGGCAGTGCAGAAGTAAGGGTGGCAATACTGCAACTGCCCTAAAATAACCTTGCGACCCCCCTGTAACTCCCTTTTTGGTCAGGACGGCCAATTTGAGAAACCCTGGGCTCTTCCCGTGAAATCTGTATCATATAGGGTAAAAGCACACAAAAGACCAGATTTCATGGGGGGAAACCGGATTTTAGGATCCGTGACGTGTTTTTTTTTTGTCTGTGAATTTGGTAGGGTCCTAATCATATGCCTAGAATCTTCGCTTGTGGTGTGTGTTTTCCCTTTTTCATCAAACTTTTTAGACAGAAATATTTTGACCAGCTTTTTATATATACACATATATAGCTGTCCAAAAGTTTTCTGTCTAAATATATGTACATGTGTACAGATGTGTGTTAGTTAAACTGGCTGTGTATTTCAATACCTGTCTATAGTTCAGAGCATCCAAATACACAGAATTCTGTGTGAAGACAACCGATTTACATGGCATGTTGATTCCTAAAGCGAGTGTTCCAGTAGCTGTAACCACCTAGGAAAATAAACATAAGTATTGAAAATTATATTTATCAACATGTGTTTCCATTCTGATAGCCTTAAAGATAGAAATGCTAACTAGAAAATTAATGCACCTCTGTACATTATTACTTCCAGGCAAAGAAGATAACAGGCACCCACAACAGGTACTCCACCATTGAAATCATGGAATTATAAACAGAGTAAATTAAGTACAGGCAGTAGCTCAACAAGTGAAAGGGAGAAGAGAAATTATCCTGACTGGTGAACAGACAATATGGAGCAGCTGTGGAAAATCATTGCTACACAAGTAAGGGATTACTGCTGCCACTTTCATTTTTATTTGGATTTTTAAAACTATTAACAGCATAATGCCTTTAACGGTTAATGTACGACTTCGTTCCCCCCTCAGTGATAAGTCATAATTCCTTACACTAACATAGTTTGTCCATTTTTATGTGGCTTCTTCTGTCTTCTTGTGCCCTGGTTGCACATTGTTTTAACTAGGGTTTGGTGTGGGGTTGCTGTTTGGTTTTTTTTGGTGTAGGAAGGCGCAGAAGGATTGTCTTGGCTCTCACAGAAAGTCAATTGACTTTTCTACCTCAATATCCCAATCTTACTTACCATGCTTATCTTTAGCTTAAAAAATTCTGAGCAGTTTTGGATCTTCAAATAAGTTTGTATGAAAGAGCCAAGTATTTTTATTATTAAACACTGTAAAGTATTTTAAACAATTTATATTGAAAGACATACAAAACAAGGCCCTGATCCTGCTAATATTTATATTTATGTTTAACTTTATTCACATGCACAAATGTAAGTATTTGCAGGATTAGGGCCTAAGATTCTATTGTATTTTCTCTTAAGTATTCTAAAATGGTGTCAGTTTGATAAACTGCATGGATATGCGATGCAATTTGTTCACTAAGGCAGTGGTCCCCAACTTGTTCCACCGCTTGTGCAGGAAAAGCCCCTGGCGGGCCGCAGAGGTTTGTTTGTGAGCATGGAAGTGGCACAGGCCAAGGGAAGTACTGGCTGCCGCTTCCAGCAGCTCTCATTGGCCTGGAGCCGCGAACTGTGGCCACTGGGAGCTGCGATCGGCCGAACCTGCAGATGCAGCAAGTAAACAAACTGGCCAGGCCCGACAGGGGCTTTCCCTGCACAAGCAGCAGAACAAGTTTGGGAACCACTGCACTAAGGAATATATTTAATGTACATTTTGTGGGGATTGTGCTTGCACTTACATTTTCCCCCTGTAAGTGAGGAGATCATTATGTGTAAAAAATATTTAATTCTCAAAGCAGATACTGTTGTATACTTAAAAAAAATTGTGAAAAATGATGAACCTGAATAAATCCCATCCTGAAGAGCATCTCCACCATCTGTCTTCCTTTTTGTGACACAGAAGCATGATGATATCCAATTCCTCTCAATGCCAGTGTTTTCAGTGTTTTATTTGTTGTCATGAACCTCACTTGATGAATCACCTTCTGCAAAATCTAAGAAAATGAAAAATTTTAAATATTTTTCATTTTTATTTACATTAATTTAAGCCAGTGCCAGAATGGAATACAACTGAGTCATGCATTGTCCTAAAATTACGTGCTTTGGTCAAACAGTGCTCTCAATAGGAAATCTGTTACTACCTATGTGCAAGAGATGCAGATGTAGCCTAAAACACTACTTGGGTTATATCCTGTGGGCTGCCAGTAACACATTTCAAACCAAATAACACGTTGGTTAAACCTCTTTTCTGAGATCTGATTCACTGAATTTAGTCAAGGTGTTTTTTGTTTTTTTGCAGTTCAAGCAAGTGATTCTTCCACCTTTACATGGAGTAAAACTTAACTAAGTGAGCATTTTTAATTGATTTCAGGTACTACTTGATATGAGTAAGAGTGGCAGAAATTTCTATAGTGCTCATCACTGTAATGTTTTTTTCCAGCATAGAAAATCAAGCAATAAGAAATAGATAAAGAGCTACATTCTGCCACTCTTATTCATTTGAATAGTATCTTACTCCTCCATTAGTCTACTGAAACTAATAGGGTATACAGTTTTCAGAGGAACAGCCGTGTTAGTCTGTATTCGCAAAAAGAAAAGGAGTACTTGTGGCACCTTAGAGACTAACCAATTTATTTGAGCATGAGCTTTCGTGAGCTACAGCTCACTTCATCAGATGTTTACCGTGGAAACTGCAGCAGGCTTTATATACACACAGAGAATATGAAACAATACCTCCTCCCACCCCACTGTCCTGCTGGTAATAGCTTATCTAAAGTGATCAACAGGTGGGCCATTTCCAGCACAAATCCAGGTTTTCTCACCCTCCACCCCCCACACAAATTCACTCTCCTGCTGGTGCTAGCCCATCCAAAGTGATGGTGATCACCATCACTTTGGATGGGCTAGCACCAGCAGGAGAGTGAATTTGTGTGGGGGGTGGAGGGTGAGAAAACCTGGATTTGTGCTGGAAATGGCCCACCTGTTGATCACTTTAGATAAGCTATTACCAGCAGGACAGTGGGGTGGGAGGAGGTATTGTTTCATATTCTCTGTGTGTATATAAAGCCTGCTGCAGTTTCCACGGTAAACATCTGATGAAGTGAGCTGTAGCTCACGAAAGCTCATGCTCAAATAAATTGGTTAGTCTCTAAGGTGCCACAAGTACTCCTTTTCTTTTTGAGGGTATACAGTGCTACTCAACATGAGTATGGCTATCGGAAACTGACCTTGAGTTAAGGTAACAAGTAGCTGGAAAAAGAGTCAATCTGTAGTCTCTAAAATGAAATCAGGGCCAGCAAGAGGCCAACTGGGGGATAAGTAAATGTTTGTGTGTGGCATATATATTTTAAAGTAGACAAATACATTTTTAAGAAATATAAAGCTAATATCTAATAGCAATCAAGACAAACTGATTTTAAGTTTGCTAGTAACTAATGGTGGGGAGAGTTTCAGACTCTGGGATGTATTTTTGAAATATATAGCACATACATTTAAAAACGTATTAATTTTCAAAGTAAAAGGGGGCAATTTATCTCAGATACAATGTTTCATTTTGATTAATATTTAATTACCCTTATAATAGTTTTACCAATAAAAGTAAAAGTAGCAATGTAATATACTTGGACATGAAGCCATCACCCTTAGGAAACTCCAACTAGTAGAAAATACTCAGCAACATTGGCTATCCTGAGCAAATCAGACCTGTCTTCCACTCTCTACACTGACTTTCCATAGAACATCAAGCCAAGTTCAAGGTCTCGGTCCTAATTGTCAATGGACTAGCCTGGGTTTAGGAGATCTAAAAAATCATCTAAATCTTTGGGATAAGGACCATGCCTCACAGCTCTGCTTCTTAGGCACAATGGAACTTTCTAACAGGAGAATAAAGCTTGTCTGTGCGGAGATGGAATTTTCTTGGAAGCCAGTCTCAGACTATGGAATACACACCCACAGGGAGCTACAGGCCATCACAAACCACACAACATTCCATTCCAAGTGCAAGGTGCACTTCTTTCACCTTGTCTTCTCTAGCAAACACATATCAGCAGGTACATTTAAAGAAACATAACATTAGAGGCTATGCTGCGCACAGTTCTCCCCCTGGGAAGACAATGAGAGAGAGAACCAATCATACATGACAGAAGTTAGTCACATCTCTTAAAGACTACTGGAAGGTGCTCAGATACTACACTGATGAGGGCAATAGAAGAACCTTTGCAGAATAAGTTCTTTCTCAGGGCCCAGCATTTATTATTGGAATGTAGAATTAGCAGCACTTTTGCTTTTTTCTTACCTCTGTATCAACAGCTTGGCTATTTGCATAGGTGCAATCCGGAGGGATTTCAGTTATCTTCCCAAGTTTTTCCATCAAATTTCCATGCTCAGCCTCCTCAAGTATCGTTTTGTCAGTTTTACTTGATGTAATTTTCATGCCACTATACAAAATACACTTCAGTTGTTAGTTTGAACCTTTAATTTAAGAAAATCTGCAATCGGTGTTTTAAAAGTAGTTCACTACATTTTATTATTTGTTTTTGTTTTGAGGTATTCCCACCAGACTAATCCTTCTGCCAGATTGTACACAGTACACCATCGGGCTGATGTTTGTTTTCAGATGCAGGACCTACTCCTGCTGAGATCAACGGCAGAAGCCCCTCTGATGCCAGTGGAGCAGTGTTATGAATAAATATGAATGGGTTGGTCAAACACTCCACTTCTGACTCAACTGAAAAACGATATGAGGGCAGAGCCTTCAGGTACCACAGGTGGGCAAAAAATTGTACACTCCAACTTGTAATCAGTTTTGATTTGTATTTAGTTTTTGTATGGATTTGGTCTGATACACCTGAAAAATCAGGAAGAAAATGTTTGTTGTGTAACAGGGTGGCCCTTTAAGGAAGGTAAAGGAACCCTCTAGGGATCAGCCCTACTCCATGCCAGGGTTTTTCTCCAAAGAAATAAATGATATACAGGGGGTACAGTCACTGGGGGTGAGAAAGTGGTCTTGGAAAGTTAACATGGATTTTGAGGAAAATCTAAACTACTAACTCTGGTTTAGGGCCCAAGAACTGAGCTGTGAGTAGGGTGAGCTGAAACTCTGGTCTCCACTCCTGTTAGGCCTGGTATACACCTAAAAATTACATTAACCTAGGTACATGACTCAGGACTGTGAAAAACTTCACACCCTGTGCAATGCAGGTAGGTCAACCTAATGCCCCAAGCTAAATCAATGGAAGAATTCTTCTGTCAACCTAACTACCACCCCAAGGAGAGGTGGATTAACTACACTTATAAAAAAAAACTCCTTTCATCAATGTAGGAAGGGTCTACACTACAGGGCTACAGTAGCAGCACTGGAGCTATGCTGCTATAGGGTAGACATACTCTCAGCGCTTAATTTGTCCTGGGGCTGAGCTCAGGCATCTCTAGGCTTGGCAGTTCATAGCCTGGTATCTCTAGGCTTGCCAGTTCATAGCCCCAGCACCTCTGCACTTGCCACTTCAGTTCTTTTATGTGCGTAGCAGATTTAAGTAGCAGTGCAACACTCTGCCTCCACTCACATGTCACAGCTGCCAGAGGAACATCCCTGAAACGTTGCACTGCTGCTAGTGTGATGCTTGAGCCCCAACACATCTTTCATTACAAATTAAGCACTGCATACCCTTAATGATGAGAAATCAGACTGACTCTGACTGGCTTCTAGTGGTTCCAACCTCAATCAATCAATCAATCAATCAATCAATCTCTCTCTCTCTCTCTCTCTCTCTCTCTCTCTCTCTCTCTCTCTCGCTCTCTCTCTCGCTCTCTCTCTCTCTCTCTCTGAACCTGGGATATTTAGTGCACTTGAGCAGCCAGACGATCGACCTAGCCTCAACAAGGCATGCTGGGAAAAATATAAAAACTGTCTTTTTTGCACAATCAGGGAGCTAGGCTGTGCTCATGGGCTCTCTGGAGAGGTAGGCAAGTAAACATATTTTTTTAAAGAAAGTTCTTTGCAACCTTGGCTAGTTTTCTTTTGACAGTCCCAGAGAAAGACTACAGGTAGAAGGGGAAGTAAGAGAAAAATCAAGTGTTTTTTAATTTAGAAAGGTCTCTTTCATATAGATGTGGTACAAGAAGTTAAACAATGAACCTAATAGAAATCGTTTCAATAGATTCAAATGCAAATAATACTTACACAGTCTGATTCTTCTGCATGGACTTTTTCATTTTTTTCAATCTGTTTGTTAGCAAATGTATCTGCTTTTCAGTCTTTGGTAGTTGTTTACTCTTTTGCTTCTTCTCCAGACAGTTTTTTATATTTTCAGCCCATGTTTCCACCTTTTTAATGTCGAATCTTTAAAAAGAATTAAAAACTAGGTAACTTATTAGTAACTAGATTTCTCAAATACATTGCCTCTACATATTGTAGAGCACTGTTGTGCATGCATTCATGCAGGAATATCTTTGTGCTCTTTCCACTTCTTAATCTATAAAGATGGCCAAGTATCCTGGCTGGAGTCATATGTCTCAGTAAATGTGCAAAGCCATACTCTGAGCAAGATTCTAAGGAGATACAAGATCCTGTCACCCTGATTTCTTATCTGTCTTCCCAGAATTTAGATTCTGAAGCATACAGAGAGGAGGACGGGCAGGTATGAATCTGTGAAAGAAACATACTAAGAAAATGCCAGTTACATGTAAGTAAACCACAGTAATTTTCACCCTATGAAACTGCTGTTACAGAGCTGCACCATTGGAATAACCAGAAAAGGTAATGCACTACACCTTTGTGAAATGGGTGTCTGGTATAGCTTCCTAATCAAGAGATGAGTGCTACACATTTCAGCTTTGTGTATGTTGTGAAGGATCATGCACAATCTCACATTGCTCACATTCAAGGAAGCAAAATAAAAGAGAGGAAAGTGTAAGGAAACATATCCTCCACAGAAAGAAAAAGGCTTCTAAAAGAACTTCCCAATCCAGGCCAACATCCGCAAAAAAATTTAAATAAAAATGGGGGTCCTCCGGTTGCTAACATTTTAGAATCGCTGCTATAGAGAATTATTACTCCTTAGCAATCCCAAACTCTTCTTCCCCTATTCTTCCTGTTCCTCCCTCTATATAGTTAGGCCTTCCCTCATTAGTCATCACATTTTTTGGTATGTCCTTCCATAACTGATATTTCTCACAGCTGAGCTGGGGCATGACTATTTTGTCTGTCTGTGACCCCCATCACAGAAGCCATGTGTCCAGACAGCAATGCCAAGGTATGACCGCAAACTGAAAGTACTGATACTACTAGTGATGGAGCTGAAAGCTGCTGCTCCAGGAATGCGCACAAGGACACCAGGCTGCCTCAAAACTGGATCTCTATGGCTGAGCCTTTAGATTCAAGGACCTCTTCATTCTTTTTCCTGTGCTTCAGAACTGATAAGGCAGATGCATATAGTATAATAATGACGTGAGAAAAAAGGAACAGGCTGGGCACTTTTTGTCAGTGCCCTTTTCCCCCACACGAACATATACCTTATCCAAGAGAGAGATCCTGTGAGGACATGAGATGAATTTACAACCTGACTTGTCATTAGGCATCTTGACTCAAAATGAGTGCTTAGGAAGACAGCAAAAACAACAAAATATCTTCTTCTTTTAATATTTTGAGATATCTAAACCAAAATCCCAATAGAGAAGAATTGGAGCTTGAAAAGGATAATGGTAGAAATCTAGTCAAAACCACTAAGTTCTGAGATTTGGTGGCAGGTACAAAAAAAATCCCCAAGAACTGGATATATGCAGGAACTCACACACCTACACAGCTTCTAAGTACAATATTGCATAGGTTATGAGGTTTCCTGACCCATTTAGACTAACTACTTTTTAACATAACATAATGTCTCATGCCATCTAAGAAAGGGAAACTGTGGAAATAGTTTCATGAATGTAAACAATCTTTTAATTAAAAAATACATTTAATAAATAACAATGACTTTTTCTTCAAATTATTCGTTTTGAGAATTACAGTGGAAGGTGTACTGGGTCTTCATATTAACCTAGTGAAGGAGAGCTGCTTGTTTGTTTTTTGTTGTTTTTTTTTTTTTAATTTTACAAACACCTGATAGCCCACAACTCTGTACTTATTCTTAGCTGCAACAAGCATTCAAAACTCTTCCTTACACTGTAAAAAGTGACCCTTTGAACACTCCAGCCATGCCCAACAACTTATCATAAGAACAGAAGCTTCTCCACACAGTTAGGTATAATATCATGCTATTCACTTACACATGTGATGGACTTGCAGCAAAAGGGTTAAAGAGTGATTATTTTTAGTGTCTAAAATATTTCAGATTTAATGGGAGAACTATTCTGTGCCAATTACATTTTTCGTAATATTGCTATAACTTGGTAGATTCCTTGGCTTCATGACATTTTCTTTGATTATCGTAGAAATGTAGGTCTGGAAGGGATCTCAATACGTCACCTAGTCTAGTCACCTGCACTGAGACAGGACTATATATTATCTAGACCATCCCTGACAGGTGTTTGTCTAACCTGTTCTTAAAACCCTCCAATGACAGAGTGCTTAACTACCTTGACAGTTAGGAAGTTTTTCCTAATGTCTAACCTAAATCTCCCTTCCTGCAATATTTCATGCAATATTATGTGCAATATTTCTCTACTATATACATTGTAAACTTTTTTTTATTGCATTTGTGTGACTTACAGAAAAAACAATGCAGGCAGTTTATCCATCTGTCTTAGTTTTTCCACAAAACATGGGAAATTGTCCTCCATGTTTTTTTCTGAACAATAGGTAGGATGGGGTTTGAGTAACTTCAGCACCCTGTTAGCCTAGAAACAGAGATAATGATTAGATGACGAGTATGCAAGGTTCATTCTGGAGTACTTTTTTAATAAGGCCGCAGGTTTCTCTTATATAAAATGATTATCAGTTCTAGTCTGATCACAACCTTGACTTTGGTAAGTAACAGAATTACACCGCATCCTCAAGATGTTGTAGGTGGGATAACAGACTGCCTAGCACTAAATTTCTGTTTGTTAAAAGAACAGGTTTTGAAACGTTTAAATATTTTTAAAAGAGAACCAGAAGGCAGGAGGAAGATGATAAGCAATTATCCAAATTAATAATCAAAAGCACCTTAGAAACCACAGATACAAGTACAATTTGTACTAACCTTTTATTGTACAGATCTTGTCAACAAAGTAATTACAGCAATGCTCATTAAAATGGACAAAGTTATAACTAACTCTCAAATCTACCAAGTAGTACACAGAGACTGTGGTGTTCTATTCTACTATGTTATATATTTTCCTGAGTTTTTGCCAATAAGTCTCTTGATACCATGTTTAGTGTTAATGTAAACCCTGAGATTTTTCTAAAGCCTAGAAGACCATCAAGATCATCAGTCATCAGTATAGCTGCAAAGTCTAGTACATAACTTGTCAGACACTCAGATTAAGATCAAGTCATCAAGTTCAGAAAAACCTAAGTAATATGGTATATGGAGGTGACAAACCTAAAAAGTTCCAAAAATATTCATAATTTTTAAAACACTTGAACATTAAAAACTGCTTTTAAAAATGATATGCATTAACTCTCTAACTGACGGAACTATAATTGCTTTGTATTAAATCTAGCTTTCTAGTCATACCTGAGAAGAATGTCTCATAACTTGATCATTGTAGTTACCTTCATTCGGTTGTCATGTACAATCCAATTTTTTAGCTCTTCCTTCAATTCTTCTTCATATTTTCTTGCATCTGCTTTTGTGATTACTATTTTATTTTTAAAATGTGTAAACTTCTCAGGATCTAGCTCCTTAAAAACAGGTAACAGAAAAACTATGTTTTACAAAATATGTATGGACAGTGTCATCTGGCAAACATGCAATGGCCTCCTAAAAACAACTGCTCAGACTAGTTGTGAAAATATATAAGTGATGAGTGCTTACGTCAGCTCTTGGCCAGTTTTCCCAGACTTGTACCATGGAGTCATACAGTAAAATACTTTCTCGTGGAGAAAAAGCCAGGTCTGAAGGGAAGCCATATTTATCTATCTGTAATAGCAGAAAAAGGAAAGCAGAGAGGAATTATGGTTTGTATGTGTGTGTGTAGGGAGGGGATCCCCCTTCATCTTCTCTTCAGTGGACAACTGTTTTCCATCTTGTTCTACATTGCCTTTCCTTAGGTTCTTGTGTTGCAGCAGCCATTGTTGAGAGATAGAAAGACAAGATAGAATTTGTCTTTGAACATGAATGCTGCAAAAATGACACAACATGATTCCTTCTATAGGGGCTCAATCCCTGTTTCTGTATCACCCCTGCCTTTTTTTTAACCTGGGCAGGGAAACTGGGGTCCTTGCAAGATGTCATGAAGATATGTTTTCTTAATAATTTTATGGTTCATTTCAAAAATGGTTTTGTTTACTATGCCATTAAACTTACATGGTCCACAGTTAGGGCAGCACATGGGTGATAGTGATGAATTTTGAAGTCATTGTCCTCTAGGGAACACACATATTTTTCCAGATCATTGTATCTCTCTCCATAAAGCACTGTAAACAGAATAGCAAGTTTCTAAATCTAAAGCAAGTTTGAAACTAAAACCAAAAGGCCACCATTTTCAAACTTGAGTAAAAACTTACACATCTAAGCAAATGGTCTTATTGTCAAAGGTGAAAAGCACCTTCAGTTATCACTGAAGTCAGTGGTAGTTGCAGGTACTCAATGCCTTTGAAAAATCTCATTTTATTAGACACTCACATTTGCTGATTTTCACCATATGCTTTTTAAAAATCAGATATAAAGGACTAATCTGGTTTTTTAAATGTTGCATTCTGATACATACCCAATTTAACCTTATATGATTTATTTACTGTCTTGATATTCTTTTGTTTTTTAGTGCCTTTCTTGGTAGTTATAGAAGAACCAGAGCTTTCTTCTCTTACACTTTCAACATGCTGCCAATACCTCTTTACTGACTGTAGCCACCTAAACAAAAAATAACACATTTTCTGGAAAAGTAGTGCAATGTAACATACCTGCACAAATGATTTTTTTTAATATATTCTAATAAATCAACCAGTGTAAACTCTTCAAACTAGCAAAAGCAAACTGCAGACTTCTCTGATACTCAAGAAATACTCAAAAAGAAAAGGAGGACTTGTGGCACCTTAGAGACTAACCAATTTATTGGAGCATAAGCTTTCGTGAGCTACAGCTGTAGCTCACGAAAGCTCATGCTCCAATAAATTGGTTAGTCTCTAAGGTGCCACAAGTACTCCTTTTCTTTTTGTGAATACAGACTAACACGGCTGTTCCTCTGAAACCTATAAGGAAATACTATGAAACATATCCCTTTTAATAAAATAAGACCAAGAATAAGAGAATAAAAGACACTGTGTCATTATGGAATAAATTCTTCCCTTTTAACTTCCTGAGATGTGAAGAAAGCCTTGAATGTAGTAGAACTGATGCAATTTCACTCTGTTGGGTAGCAAGCAGCAGGAAGCCTGCAGGTAGGGTCATAACACCTAATATAGGCTAGGACCCCAGCTTTGTAGGGCTTCCCTATGCCCTGGCAGATGGGGTCTTGGCCAGATGAGTGGGGGAAGAGGAGGAACTGGAGATCCAAACATACAGATCCACTAACTAAATGCCCTGCAGCAGCTAAGGTTATAG